CCTCTTTTCCTTCTGGGACCTCTATAATGTGAATGTTGGTGCATTTAATTTTGTCTCTGAGGTCTCTGAGACTGTCCTAGTTTCTTTCCATTCTTTTTTCTTTTTCGTGTTCTGTGGCAGTAATTTCTGCCACTCTATCTTCCAGCTCACTTACTCATTTTTCTACCTCAGTTATTCTCCCATTGATTCCTTCTAGTATATTTTTCATTCCAGTTATTGTATTGTTCATCTCTGTTCTTTAAATCTTCCAGCTCTCTATTAAACATCCCTTGTAACTTCTTTGTGCTCTAATTCTCTTTCGAGATCTTGGATCATCTTTACTACTTTTACTCTAAATTATTTTTCAGTTAGGCTGCCTATCTCTACTTCAGTTGTTCTTGTGGGGTTTTATCTTGTTTCTTTGTCTGGAATATATTTCTCCATTGTCTCTTTTGTCTTCGTTTCTGTGTTTGTGGTCTCCTTTCTGCTGGCAGGAGGATCATAGCTCCTCTTCCTTCTAGTGTTTGCCCACTGTGGTGGGTGAGGTCGGTTCGGGGCCTTGTGAAGGCTTCCTGGTGAGAAGGACTGCTGCCTGCCCACTGGTGGCTGGAGCTGGGTCTTGTCCCTCTGGTGGACAAGGCCACATTAAGGGGTGTGCTTATGGGTGGCTGTGAGCTCAGTGTGGCTTGAGGCACCCTGTCTGCTGATGGGTGGGGCTGTGTTCCTGTCCTGCTGGTTGTCTGGCCTGAGACACTAACCTGAGTAGGGCCAGGTCTTGATGCCAAAATGGTGGCCATCAGGAGAGCTCACACCTGTCAGTATTCTCTGGGGCTTCTGCCCCTGGAGCTTCTCTTCCTGCCCCACCATGAGTCACAGTGGATCTCCAGCTCCTGTGGAGTTCCTGCTTTGTGCTGGGTCCCAACCTTGTATGCATCCTGCAAGAGTGAAGTCTCTGTTTCCTCCAGCCCTGTGGACCTGCACTAAAGCCCCACTGGCCTTCAAAGGTAAATGCTTTGGGAATTCCTTCTCCTGATGCCAGATGTGGGAGAACCTCTGTGATACAGTTTTTTTTTTTTCTAATTTGTGAGCCACCCACCTGGTGGGCATGGGATTTGATTATGTCATGAAAGTGTTTCTCCTGCCATCTCCTTGTGGCTTCTAAAGGCATTTTAATTTGAACATAGATTTTCTGTGCAAGACTTCATTGGGTGTTCTGGGGAAAGGATAGATTTCCTTCCTACAAATTACTCAGTGTCTAGTGGGGGAAGATAAAGAGTGACAAAAACAAATGTCAAGACTGTAGAGTTAAGGCAGAGTGTGAGGAGTGTGCAAAAGTTGTCAAATGCAGCAGAAGTGATGGTTTTATATTCCTCCTGGAAAATCAGAGAGAGCTTAGCTGCTTAATTAGAAGTGATGTTTTTGCTGGAGCTTGATGTATTTGTAGGCTTTGGGGTGGCAAGAGAGGAGTAGAGTGAGATGTGGAAAGGCTGGGGAAAAGCCCAGGCAGAAGCACAGAGTTGGCAGCACACAGGGCGTGTTCTGGGATTGGAACTGTACTCTAAAAGGATTTCAGTGCAATTGGGAAAAAATGAGTAGACTGGGCTTGGGTTGTGAAGGGCTTTAAATATAGTGGCCCTTCTGTATATAATGGGGAACCACCAGGCATTCTGAACAGGGATTGTCTGAATCCAGTCTTGTATAGTAAGGATGATGAAGTGTGGATTTTAAGGAGGGGTAGTCAGGTAAGAGGCTATTGGAGTCATGGAATCTATTTTTTTTTCTGTTTGTTCTGCCACTTTCTCTGAGCCTCTCTGGTCTTGCACCCATGTTATTGCAATGGCCTGTGAAGTAGTCTTTATTTCCATCTTGCCCCAACAAAGCCTTTCTGTCAGTGCAGCCAAAGGGATCTTTTTTAGACCATAAATTGAATGTTACACTGCTGCTTAAAATCTGTCATCCTCTCAATGTACTTGAAGTAGCATTTGAATACCTTCCCATAGTGTACAAGGAAATCTTTTGCAGGATCTGTCATCTTCCTGCTTCTCCCTTACATTCAAGCTGACTTGCTTTCTCACACCCTAGAACATGCTGAGTGTTTTCCAAATCACTTGCTTCACTTGACTGTTGGAATTAGCCGTTTCCCTCTTTTGCTCTTGGCTTAGATGCCACCTCAGAGAGCCCTCTTGGACCACCTCATTCTAGTATCACACTGCCCTGTATTTATTTCATGATTCTTACCCACCATGTATAACTGAATATCATTAGCCCTATGAGGCAGAACTGTACCTATTGGGTTTACTGCTTTACCCATGTTGCCTGGCATATGCTGAAAACCATTTGATGAATGAACAAGGGGCACAGATAGCCTTCTAGTTAGAAGACAAAATATATGACGACTGTGGCAGGTACATACATAGTTAGTCCAGGAGGCATTGAGGAATAGGGATTGATTTGTGAAAGAAGAGGCTGGAACTAAAAGCTGCAGATTTGGAATTGATCTATTGTGAGCTAATGATTGGAGAGGTAGGAGTGAATTGAGGCAGAAAGTGTATTTGAGAGAACATCCAGGGTAAAATTTTTTGGGGAAACGAACATTTAGGAAATTAAAAGGCAGAAGAAAGCCAGGAGAAGCAGCCCATAATTGGAAAGACTCAGGAGACTGTTGTCAAGGAAGTTTAGGGTAGTTATATGAGCTTTGGGTGCTGCTCAAGGATTGGGGAATGAGGAGCAGCAGTGCATGTTTAGAGATTGCTGGTGAGTTCGAGAGATTCATTTTGGCCATCTGGTTGTAGTGTGATTGGAGGAAAAGAAAGTGAAGGAAGGAAGCTAGGGTTACCATTCGGACAAATTTTGTGGCATAATCAGTGGGTGATAGGGCAGCTGTCTTGCTTGATAGGGTAGGATGTTGGAGGAATAAGAAAATGAGCCAGTGCAGGGCACTCAGTCATAGACATGTAAGTGTGTACATCTTGGAAGTAGCTATTCCCATTTGCATATGTGAGCCCCGAGAGATTGAGAAGCTTCTGGTTTGCAGGCGACATTCCTTTCTGACTGATGAGTGGGAATGGCGTAGTGCAGTGCTTCTCAGACTGAGGTGAAGGACTGGTTAAAAAAAAATTTTTTTTTTAAATCTCCACTGTCCTGAAACGATACAGTTCACTAAATACAAAATATGAACTGTTAGAAACATAATCATACTCTGGGCTATTGTGGCAATGTCAAATTAAAAGTTTCTGAATGCTTTTGTTTTTCGTCGTAGGATGGTAATGGTCAGTTTGTGGATGTTTTCAGGCTGCAGTCTCTCTCGGAGTGGCACTAACGCAGTGTGTGAGGGAGCAGGAGACCCAGGGATTTTTCATGAGTGGCTCATCTGAGTTCTTAGATGGCTTGGTAATTTCCAGGTTAAGATCACCCAGGAGGAGTTACATGCTTACACTAGCCAAAAGGGACTCTTAAACTCTCAGTGCTGTAATCAGTAGTGTTGAATAAGATGTTGTTCCCTTTCCCTTCTAATACTTAAAATTCTTAATATTTGAAGTAAGTTGTCTAAACACAGAACACTTAAACTTTGAAAATTATTACCTTAAATAGGAGTACCATTAAAATATGAGAACTGTTACCAGTAAGTTGTAAAACCAGGAAGAAAGTAAGGACATATTCTGAGATTTATGAAGAATTTAGAGCAATATGAGAAAGTGATAATGAATGCCAGTTTTACCCCACCAGTCCCTCGCTCCCTTGTACACCAAGAAATGCCTGCTTTGTGTTGAAGCTGGCTTGAGTTGTATTTCTATCACTTAGGACTGAAAATGTCCTGGAAAAAAAATACAGATGCAAAACTGTCACCCAGCTATCATCAGAGATAAATGCAGTTCCAGACTTTTCACTCAACATAATGGCGTTCAGTGACCCCCCTGCCAGGATACCATCAGTACTTGCTCTCAAGATGGAAACTGGCAAATTGTGGAGGTGGGCAGAGAAATCCTTTAGTGTAAGAAAGTTTGTTACCAAGCCTGAGGCCAGAAAAGGTAAAATAACACAGTGGTTTGAACCCAGGCTTCTTCCTTTGCCCGACAGAGCACACTTGACAGTGTCTAGAGCAGTGTCTAAGTGTCTAAGGATGCCATTATTTAAATTCGACATTTTAGTGTAGATCTTTTGCTTACGGATTTCAAAGGATTTAAATTGAAAAATTATCTTCATCCTTGTTAGCATTCAGCTGCTATTTATAGTTTGTTACAGCATCTCTTTTTCAGAAAGGACTATTTTCATTCATTCTCCCTATTTTGAGTAAGATGAAAAATGAAATCATTTAGTTATGAAAATTAATAGCACCAAAGAGTAGAATGTCTGTCTGTCTTGATGCTGTGTTGTAATTGGAGATTGAACATTTATGTTTATAATCTTATTTGGACTATACTGTCCATTTCTTGACATAAATATTTAACTCTGAGGGGAAAGGGGCCAGCTGTACAGTCCTAGTACAGTTTAATATTTAACTCCTTTAAACTGAAACATGTGGGCTGTTGGTTAGGCCACAGAAGTAATTTGACATTGCAGATTTTTGTGTCGTGATGTTTTAGCTGTGGACTTGACCTGGATTAAGTTTCTGGAGAATTGTGGTCATGTGAGAACGTATAGTGTGTCCTTACTTCCTGGAAGAAGTACACAGACCTTGACTGTGTCTAAAACATGCTTAATATACAAAGTCCAAATTAAAAACAGCACATCATCATTTAAATTTTTTCAGTTCTGGGTCTGAAGAAGCCCAGGCTTTATTTTTATTTGCTACAACAGAGTATCTTCAAATAATGCATCGTCAAGGTGACAGGTGAGTGACCCCATGTCTGTTTGGGGAATATATCTCTGATCTTATTTTCATTTTAAAATGTGGATGTAAATTGAAGTTTGAGTGGTTTGGCCTTGATAAAAATACACACAATTATAGCTGTTCTTTGTATGGCAGTTTTTACTGGGTGTCTTATGTTTACTATCTCAAGTGGAAGTCCAAACAAATTTTATTTTGTAGTAAAAAGTCTTTATTTCCAAAAGATTGGTTAACCAGAAAAACTATAAACCACCTAACACAAGATTTTGGTAAGAAAGAGATTTGACGTTTCATATAAATTCCCCCTTGCAAACAAAAAAGAATTAACACTGATGTAACAAGAAACATGTTACCCATTCTTATTCATTAACCAGTTGCCTGGTTTTAAGTCTCCAAAATTTGGATTAAAATTTACCCAAATAGGGACCGGACAGAACATGAGATACTAGGGCGGCTTGTCCTCAGCTTACTTAGGAATCGCCACTATATGGAACTTCGATTTTCATGGATTGGGAGGAGGGATACTTTTAGATAACTAAGAGTAATGTTGGAAAAGCAAGCAGATTCTATATCAGGGCTTTTTTCTTTTGTGCAAATAGAAATTAAACCTCTTTATTTCTTTATATTTTGTACTGCTTTGTACAAGGGAGGAGGAAGCAATTCACTTGAACGATTGAAAAAAAAATGTTGGGAACAATTCAGACCCCCAGAAAGCTCAGGAATGGGAATAGTGGTCCCTCCAGAATGAGGGTGCAAAAGGCATATCTCTTACTGAATATGACTGAAATGAATTACAATTGTAAAAAAAGACCCAACCTTCTGAACACTGAATTAGTTTAAAACACAAAAGACAGACCCAATGAGTTTTTTATTGAATAGTCTCTCTTGTAGTTAAAACAGTACAGATTCAAGGCTGTAGCATATATATATATATAGTGTTGTGTTTGGAATATCCTGATGTATTTAATGCAGATTCTTAAAGTAGTGTATTCAAAGCATTGTATGCATCTCATCCATGGTACATATTTGGATTAAGCACGATAAAGAAGGCCTGCAACAGGAGCAGAACAGTAATTTTAACAGTAAATGAGTGAGTAGAAACTGCTGATGGACTCAAGTTGGTAAAATGTCCTTTTACACTAATCCTTGGTAGTCAGTCTCCCTGAATTTGGTGTGCTTGTGTTTGGAAGGGGATGGAAAACCATGACCCTCCCTATGGTTGTGTCAGAGGACCAGACCCTTGGTGTAGAGGGCTGATGTATGTAAGTTTGACTTCCCACCAGATTTTTCTGCTAACTTGATTCTGTGACATTCCTTTCTCCCTGGATTTGTCTTGGTCTCTGAAACTCTCTCTCTACATACAAAATTTTATGACTATAAAAACCCTTTCAAGTTCTGAGATAGTATTTTTGTTGAAGGAATGGCTTGGTGGGCTGCAGACAAACTCGGCAGAATGTTTGCATAACTGAAAAAAAGGTTTTCTTGTTAGAAACTGGTTTGCTAATTTAAAAGTCTGTGTTGGAAGGTTTAAAAAACTCAAGCCTGGGACTGCTCTAGAGGCCAGTTTTGCTGCTGTGGTTCTAGTAAGGATCTAGGATCACAAGGTTCCTAAGGCTGGCTTCCTAAGAGAATTATATCCAAAATAACCCAAAAGAAGGGAATAATAATTTCTAGACTCGGTATGTTTTACCCCTAAGAACTGGTTATATTTTTTTAAAAAGCAGCCATCATTTCTTTCCTTTGGAGTATCAGGAACCAGTATTAGGGGTTGAGATACTGGATTCAGAGTTTCTCAGTGAAAGAAGAAAGCCACTCAACATCAGTTCCTCTCTTCGTGTTTGCCAGCTGTTTTCCCCAAGAACTGTGATGACTGAGGAGACTCCACAAGGGACCCTAAAGTTCCACTAAATGAGAAGAGAGAAGCAAACAGTAGTTTGCTGCAAGAGCAAGCAGGCTACAGGCAAGAGGGAGGGGAATCTGCTCTCATTCCCACCCAATCAGGAAAGTCTCCCCACTGCTGCGCCCTGGCACCGATGCACAGGGTCAGCTGCGGGCACAGCTGCTTCTCCATGTGGGGAGGCCGGGGTCTCTGTCCTGCCGCCCAGGTGGATGCTCGAGAGGGACACGTTCTGTTCTGCACAGGTGACTGACACTACTCACTTGTGCTGGAGGAGGGCCGGCTAAGGACGAGGGAGGCCCCCCCCATCCCCGTCTGTGCCCACCAAGAAGTGTACAGAAGGGTGGCCCAGGCATCCACAGGACTACTGGGTGGATCACCCTGCAGAAATGAAAACTAGTGTACACGATTTAAACTGCCTTAAACAAACAAGCAAACAAACGATCCAGCCGTTGGTGCCTCTGGGGGTCTAGAGTGCAGCCCTGGGACATGTGTACCCTGGTTAACACGGATGGACATTGCATGCCCTGATCTCCTTCTTGTCTTTGCAGCTGGTAAACTGGGAGCTTTTGAACCTCTTCTTCACAGTCATGTAGCGTTCCTGGATCCCTCCTCCGCACAGTTTGGTGCATTCTGACCAGGCTGTCCAAGGACGCATCCTGCAGCCTGAAAGCATGAGAAGGCCTGGTTAGGCCAGCAGACACGGCGGGAAGAACAAGGAGACTGAACTCTAGTAAACAACTGTCAAACCTAGGTAGTTGTCTGGACTTCTCTGATCTTATATGTAATAATTTGTTGAGTTCTTATAACATATGTTAGCTTATAGGTGATTGTTAAAATGGTCCATTAGTACTTTGCAGCTCTTCCCCATCAAGGAGCAGAGTCTCCTCCTCCACCCTTAGAATCTGGGTTTGTCTATATGACTTGCTTTTGGCCAGTGGAACACGAGCAAGCATGGCTTGAAAAAAAAGCCCTTGGGAACCTTTTCCACCACAGTGTAAGCAAGCGTGGTTATGCTGGGGAGACGACGTGGACAGATGCCCCAGAAACACAGGTGAGGCCACTCTAGACCTTCTAGCCCCGCATGAGCCACCAGCTGGATGGCAGCCACTCAAATAAGCCTAAGCTAAACCCCGCAGGAATCATCCAGCTAAGTCAATCCAAGTAACTGCCCTACAGAATCCTGTAAATTTCATTTGTTTTGGAGTGGCTCATTAATGCAGCAACCAGCCAAGGAGCAAGTAACCACTTCCTCTAATGCTTTGCTCTCCCAATTGCTTAGCTTCCCCAGTATCAAGTAAACTCAGGTATAATTGATTATTTTTCTCATGTAAATAGACTTTCCTTTCTCAGAGAAAACATCCCTGACCCAGGATTAGGTTAGATCGTAGTTAAAAAAAAAAACAACTTCCATAGCACTGTCTATATTAGGTTGGTGTGAAAATGATTGCGGATTTTGCATTGTTGAAGTTTGTCATTGATACTGGAATGCATTCTAAATAGATGTGGTTATGTCATATGTCATTTTAATGCACATTTCTCAGCTTTTTTGTTTTGCTAGTGACATTACTTGCTGTTGATTTTATATTTATATTAGACTATGGAAATGATATTAGACAAAAAGCTGTCCCCAGCTATTGTTTCATTGTTTTGCTGATACTGCGCTCTTGGCTGGGACCAGCTTATTCACAGTGAAGCCCTAAGGAGGATTTTTTTTTTTTTTTTTTTCCCAGTTTTGGAACTCCTTAGGTTATACTGAAGGAGGGGCACACATAAGCTCTCTCCTCATTTACAGAGAAAATTTAAATCAGTCTTTGTGCTTCCGTTTTTGCCACCTCAAGACCACTCAACACAGGCCTGTTAAAAGTCAGTCTGTTACTTAAAACCTTGGCTTGCAGGATCAAGTCCTCAGCAGCCAGTAGACCTTTCCTGGTCTGGTCCCTGTCCTCTGTCTGTGGCCTGGTTTCCTGCCTCCCCTATACTGTGTGTTCTTCTAGAGCCCACTTACCACTTGTTCTTGGGTACCTCAGTTCCTTTGCAATAACAATGCCTGATCCCTTGAAACACCCTTCTTTTACATCTCCCTGAACGCCAGCCCACACTTGGCAGTACCTGGAAACTGGTCCCCGTCCGACTCCTCCCTCAGCTGTTCACTCCTCCGACTCTCTCGGGCCTCCCTCCAGCGCAGGTTCTGGATGGATGGATTTCGGAGGCATTTCCGGATGCGGCACTTTTTCCGCTGTACAGTCTCTGGGCAGGGTGCGCCTCCAAACTGGGGCTCCATTTGGATCATGCGGGTTCGAATCATGTGTCCTTTCCCACATGACTTGTTACATTCCGACCACTGGGACCACTCCGTGAGCTCACAGTCAATGGCTGGCAAGACACAGATGGGCATGAGTGTATCTCACTCTGAAATAAGATTTGGATACTTACTTTTCTTTGAACATCTTGACACAAGCCTCTGGGAAATGCAAAGCAGGTACTGTTACCCCATTTTTACGGAGGAAGAAACTGAGGCTCTAGGAGACAGACTGACTATCCAGCCCACATGGTTGGTAAGCAGTGGATGCAGAATTGGTGCCCCAATTGAAACCCACACACTGTGCCCTCTTTATGATTTGAAAAGGCTTTTGGGGGGACTTTGAAGATTAGTTCGGAGCCTTTTGCTCTAAGCTTCTGGAGTGTTGTCAAATTAGCCTCAGGTGGCCCAGACCAGCTTTCCACAACCAAGGACCCTGATTCCCTGAGGGAAGGCACAGCTCACTGGTGCCATTTACCCCCGTGGACTAATGATACTAAGGACACTGTGACTTTTGCAGTAAGAGCCAGGCAGAATCTCTTGTTCTCACATCATCCTGGGTCTTATATATGGTGATCGTCAAAACACACAGGAGTCAGAAACAGGAAATTCAGTAGGGAAGAAGGAAGGAGCAAGTGGTGTCATGGATTATCATGATAAAAGATCCAGCCAGTTTTCATTAAGCCAGCATCTCACACATGTGGAGGAAAGCTAACACCTCTTGAGTGATTCTCAGGATGTCTTCTAGGGAGGCAGATGATCCCAAACTGCACTGCCTCTGCAAAGTGGGGACCAGGCTGGCTGGATCTAGGAAGAACTCATTTTGTTCATGGTCTGCCCTTCTCCCTGTGGGAGCTCCGGCAGCTTTCCCATCTACAACATGGGGATAATGATATTTTTCTTGTTGGGTTGTGAGGATTGAGTGAAGTAATACTCTCAGCCCAGTTCCTGGCCCACAGTGAGTATTCCATAAATGTTCTTTTTCTTCTCTCTCCATTCACTGGGCCCTGTGGATATAGAGTTTTGTTTAAGTTGGTAACAGCATCTCAGAAGATTCCAGAACCCCAGCTCCAATGAACTGTGTAGAACTTGGGGTCGATCTTAGTAAAAGCCTGAGGCTTTAATTGGATGGTTAGGTCATCTCCACACATGACTTTGATTAAAATAGCTCAGAAAGTGTAATATGTAACATTAGTGGAGGCTCATCGGAGAAGGCAATGGCACCCCACTCCAGTACTCTTGCCTGGAAAATCCCATGGATGGAGGAGCCTGGTAGGCTGCAGTCCATGGGTCATGAAGAGTCGGACACGACTGAGCAACTTCACCTTCACTTTTCACTTTCATGCATTGGAGAAGGAAATGACAACCCACTTCAGTGTTCTTGCCTGGAGAATCCCAGGGACGGCAGAGCCTGGTGGGCTGCCGTCTATGGGGTCGCACAGAGTTGGACACGACTGAAGCGACTTAGCAGCAGCAGTAGCAGTGGAGGCTCACACTTCCTTGGTGGGCTCAGCACTTTGTACTAGTTATATGGTTTCAGTCTCAGAGCAGATGAGGGAGAGGGTTGCTAAATAATGTGCTGAGATTTATATAGCCAGTAAGGGACAGGCAGCCTGAGTAATTGCAGGGAGAGGAAGCACAGAGGCTGCAAGTGCATTTCAAAGGAAGCCAGAAAAACACATCCAGCAAATGAGTCTGACTTTCCACCACCTGAAGAGAAGTTCTCTGGGAAGACTAACCAGAAAAATGGTCTGTCTCCTTAGATAATAAATTCAGCTGGTCATAGAGATTTGAGAATAGATGAGGGTGGGTATGGGACTTTTGAGGGCTCTACTTGCTGGCCTGTTTTCATATCAGGGAACCACTGGTTTAATGTCCACCTTCTGGTCATGGGTCAATAAAACGGTCACGGGTGGGGAGGAATAGAATTTAAAAACTTGAAAAACCCATGGGTCAGACTGGCCTCTAAATTGGGGGAGGGGGATGAGTGGGGAACTACAAAATTAAGCTTTATTGAACCTGTGCCATTTTCCATCTAAGTCTCCTGTTTAGGCATAACAGCAGTTTGGGTGTCTCGTAGACAGTAGTGGGACTCTCCAGCCAGCAGTCATACTGCAGGACCTAGGCTGGCTAGGAGGAGGAGAGGGGGCTCCCAGGAGCGCCAGGACTTACGGCATTCAGGCAGCATGCACTTCTCCACCTGCTCCAGCTCCTCATTACAATCCCCGAGTTCGGCCAGAGACTTGAGCATCCGCTGGCGGGTCCGCATGCCCTTCCCACAGGTCACGCTGCAGTCGCTCCACTCGGACCACAGGGACAGCAAGCATGGGATGGTGTCTAGACCAAGAGCCGGGTTTGCCACTGAGAACAGGCTCCGTTTGCTTTCTTTGATCTGGTGCCCCTCTACCCTTTGTCCCCAACTCGGGCCCCTTGAGTAAAGTGAAATTGACCAGTGGGTTTAGATAACCCAAGTGACGTTTATGGAGCCAGGAGTGGCTCAGCAAACCACTAATTCTTGTCATTCTCCTGCAGCTCCCCTGGCCCAGCTGGTGCTCATAATGTGGCTCGGTTATACAAATACACACTTCCCCACTTGAAACGCCCTGAGGGTCTGAATAGGGTCCTACTAGAGACAAACATCCCACATGCCCCAAGAACCATGCGGTAAAATACAGGCTCAATGAGGTTTTTGGACACTTGGGTGCTGAAATCCTAGAATGTACTTGAGTGCGTGTGTACATCTCTGTAGTGATGTGTAGGCCTATGGCATTTGTGTGTAGAGCAGATGTATTGCTTTATGGGGCCACAGGCAAGTCTAACAGAACAAGAATGAGGGGGTCTCTGATGACCTGAGGAATGTACAATCTGTCTACATGTATAACCCCTGGAAAAGATACTCTGGGGTCCTATAAAAACACAGTTACAGGTGAATGCTATCTAGAGGCCACCAGCGTGCCTCCTCAGCATTGCTTCTTCAAAGGAGGTCACTCTCTGGGGGTCTGGATGATGTCCACACACCTATAGCTTTCATCTTACAGGGGAGTGCCTTGCCAGGATGGGGGCCTGTATTTCCCCCTGCACCTGCGCAGCCTTGACAGCGGTACACAGTGCTGAGGGCCTCCATCCTCTCCCCCAGCGCCACCGCCCCCACGCCCACTCACGGCACTCAGGCATCATGCACTTCTCTGCCTGAGATGTCTCAGCCTTGCACATGGAGCCGTCCGCGGGGCTCATCTTGACCATGCGATGCCGCTTCTTCATGCCCATCCCGCAGGTGGCGCTGCACTCGTCCCACTCGCCCCACTCGGTCGTCAGGCAGCTGCTGGGAGCTGGGAGCCCGGCGGGGTGGTGTCAGTGGCCTCAGCCCCTGAGACCCCGCCCCGCCCCGCCCGGCGCCCCACTCACAGCACTCTTCGTTGACCGTGCATTTCTCCGTCTCCTCGGTGGGCAGCGTGCACACGGAGCCGTCCTCCGGAAACTGCTTCACGTACCTCTCCCGGGACCGCATGCCGGTGCCACAGGAGATGCTGCAGGGCGACCAGGTGATCCACTCGGACATGGTGCACGTGGAGCCGTCTGCAACACGGAGTGGACGCTGCAGCCCCGGCGGCACGCTGCTGGGCCTCGCGCGACCGACCCAGCAAGCTCCCCCAAGGGCAGAAATCTACGTGGTCAGCCGGCATTCAGGGGGATTTGGGCAACTGAGGATGGAAGCCAACGTAAAGGGCGCACATTTTAAAACCAGGAATTGTTCTTTAAGGGAAATGACTTTCTCCAGGTGCATGAAGCACTGGGGATTACTCCTTTAGTTGACAATACATTTGAAAGATGTTTGGATGGATAAGAGGGTGATATATGCTTGTTCTAAAAAATGATGAGGGATATGAAGTCATCCATCCATCCATTTACTCGTGTCAATTGAAATTTACTGACTGCTTAGTGGTATGTGGTGACTGAGGTTAAAAAGATGTGTATAGTATGGATTTTCATCTTCTCCAGAAAGAGATGGGCACATAAACTGGCAATAATTCTAGGTATTGAAAATATGACAGCAGATGTAAGCCCAGGGAATTGGAAGGGGAGAAGCTCCTTGGAGTAGATTTCACACAGGAGGGCACCTCTGAGGGCCCTTTGGTTGGGTGGAGAATATCGGTATTTAAGGTGAAGGGACTAGCTCTTTCAACAACCTGTCCAGAGTGTGTTGTGTGTGGCACTGAGAGATGAAGCTAGAAAGAAGGATGGAGATCTCAGCGTGAGGCCAGCTCGCACACATCCACAGTCACATGTACACAGGAGTGAAGGCTGCATGTTGTTACTGAACCTATGGACAGTGGTGCCAGGCAGTGCCAGTGGGAGACAGCTGGAATCCACCTTAGACCCAGGGGAGCTCTGACACGTCAACAAGGATGAACCTATGCTGAGTGAAATAAACCAGTCAAAGACAAATACTGTATGATTCCACTTATATGACATACCTAGAATATTCAGTTCTTTAAAAGCAGAATGATGGTTGCCAGGGGGCTGCAGAGTTGGTGTTTAATAATTGTGTATGTGTATATGTAACACCACCCAATGGTACAATTAAAAATAGTTGGTAAATTTGCTGCTGTATATCACCAAACAACTACAGGCATAGCCCAACCATTTTCAGAACTATCATTACCACCTCAGAGCCACCAGGATTCCTCCCCTCTGGAGGTGATGGTTTTAAGACCTCAGCTCCCCCTGTAAGCCTCAGACCATCTGCCCATCCCCGCCATCCTCAACCCCAAGAACGAGAAAGTGCCTCCAGCATTGCTAGGGCTGTCACGACTTGCACCCTGCCTGTGCATGCAGGGTTCACTCCCCTCTGAAATGCCTCGTCCTGGGCACAGACAGCCATAAGCCACTGTGCAGTGTATCCAGGAGAGGTTGTTTAAGACCAAGCCCCAGGAAGAGCCAGAAAGTGAATGACCTGCCAGGGGGCAGTAAGGTCTCTTCAGTTATCCTCAGCTTGGAAGTGGTTTTCTTCCTTCTATAAACCAGCCCAGCCTACCCATCCCTTCTTACTGCCTCATTGTGCCTCCGAGACAGTTAAGATCAGAGTCCAGATCTGTTCAGGCAGAGAGAGGATTGTACCTTGGAAAGTGGGCAGCTGGCCTTTGCACAGCAATCAGCATGGCATGGTTGTACAGGTTGTGTAGTTCAAGCCTGACTTTTTAAAGACTGACCTTCGTCCAGTTACAAGGGAAGAACTGCTGCGATCAGTCCAAAGGCCCTGACGCAAGGGAGTGAGGGCTCTGACCTGGGCTGAGGCAGGCTGTGCATGGATAACGCAGAATTAGGGCAAGGATCTAGGTTCAGTCTTGGCCAACATGTTCACCTGCTTCTTAAAAAAAAATTGGAGGTAAGGCCCAGAAACAGGGAGCTTACTCTCTGTAATCTGTCTTGTGTCTGTTTTCTTGCATGGCTGGGGGTGGTCCGTCAATCTCAAGAATTCTTTTGATGTCCTAAGACATCTGTGTTCACGGCCCTCAAGACACTGTTGGAGACGAGGGTGGCCCTAGGCAGTCAGTCCCCACTGACAATCTAATCGGGGCCCCGGTGTTCACCGGGGGCACCGCCTGATCAGGTAGGAGACGCCAGCATGGCCAGGTGGGCCCCTCCCTCCTGAACTGCTGTCAGCCGCGCTGGTGGCGGCGCCTCCTCACCTTCGTCACTGCAGCCCGGGCCCATGCAGGGCTGGAAGTCCTGGGTGTCAGGGCAGGGGACGCTAAGGTCCAGCTGCGCCTTCAGCATGCGCTGCCGCATCCTCTTGCCTTTGTCGCAGGTGGAGGAGCTGCAGGCGGACCACGGGGACCAGTTGGAGTAGATGCAGGTTTCGGGGGTGTCATCTGGGAAAAATATGTGAGATATTTTCCCTGGGAGCCTGTGGGAGCTGTGACTGGCCCTCCCCCTGGACAGGTTCACGTGGGGACAAGAAAATCCCTGCTGGCTGACCAGCCTTGGGGAGGTGGGGTACTCCTGGGATGCAAGCAGCCGTTCACTTCCTTTCAAAAATGATACTATGGCATCCCACTAATACAAATCGAAGTAACCTCATAGTCAGAAAAGATTCTCCTACTGTCCCTTCTCCTCAACACCCGAACACCAGCCCTCACTTTGGCAGACAGCGTTTCCACACAGGTGCAGGCATGTCATGGGTAATTTGGGGATGCATAGGCTTTTTCCGTGTTGTTGCTCACCTTCCCAGGATCCCACACACAGTGTCATGATGAGAATAAGGATGGCCAGTGTTCGCTGAGCACTTACTGTGTGCCAGCATCATTCTAACAACTTCATTCATCCCATCAGTTCCTTACCACAGCGCCCTAGGAGGCAGGCTCTGTTATCATCCCCGTCTTACAGTTGAGGAAACGTGGAGAGGTGGGCTTCTCACCCAGGAAGGAGTGCCCAGCTCGTTCAGCTCCAGATGCTGTGAGATACCCTGAGCTGAAGCCAGGGCTCGGCCACTGCCTCCTGACTCTAGTCTGGGCTGACTTTCCTTGCTGCAGAAGTGATTGGACCCACTCCTGCCTCACAGGCTAGTGTGAGAATCATAGCAGAGAGTCATCTGAGTCCCATGAAGCCGAAGCGGATGCCATTTACATGACACTTTAAAGGCGTGATACTGTTGAATTCATATTCCAGGGTCAAGCCTTTGCCATTTCCCTGATACTTTCTGCCTAGCCTTGGCCTTACTTTGATTATCTCCCAAGCAAAAATCTTTCTTAAAAAAGGGATCACCAAGTCGAAGGTTTTTCTGTGGCTTTAAAAATATGTTAGCAAATTGCTTTCCCCAAAGATAGTTTACATTTTATTTCCAATTTATGTTGCCACCTGCAATAAAGGAAGGCAGCTTACCTTCATCTTTCTCTTCTGGAGCCAGGTCTGCTACAATATCGTCGACATTGTCGGGTACAATATTGCACTGTTCCCCCTGCAAAAGGAATTTTAATTGGAGGGCTCTCATTTAAGAGTGGACTGTATGGGAGAAAGATGAGGGAGGATATAAAATTGAATGCCCACCCTGTATCCAAATCCTAGGCCATGGCAGAGTTGTGGGCCAACTTTTACAATCTGACTGAAAAAAGAAATGGCAGTAAAGCCACAACTTCCCACTTCCTGACCCATGGCTGTGTGCTGTGCTTAGTCTGCCTCTGCACCCTTTGGACTATAGCCCGCCAGGCTCCTCTGTTCACAGGGATTCTCCAGGCAAAAACCACTGGAATAGGTTGCCATGCCCTCCTCCAGGGGAATCTTCTCAACCCAAGGATCGAACCCACGCCTCCTGCGTTGCAGGCGGATTCTTCACCGACTGAGCCACCAGAGAAGCCCGTGGCAGACATTAGTCATTGATTATGGCACTTACCATGAAGCCTAGTTACCTGGAGTAAATCATTTGGTTGAGCGTCACATCATTCCTCCATGTTCATTTTGCTTATTTATATCATAGGAATAATTTGCATCTAGAAACTCTGAGAGGCCCAGGAATTCCACGTCCTAAATATCCCAGGGACCCCATGATTCTAGAGCAGAAAGGGGTCTAGTCTCCTGATGGGAGGGGTCTGTGCCAGGGTGAACTCTAACCCAGTACCTTCCGGGCGATTCTCTCGATGACCACTCTGGCTACTTGAGTGATGGATCCACCCTCTGGATCGTAAAAAGGACTCTGAGGATGGTCAAGACTGGTCAGGGGTCGGATTTTCTCCTGGGGAATTGTGGGCTTGTTGGGAGACTGCAATGGAAAAAATACACAGAGTGGGAAATTAACAATTTGATATATGATCAGAACAAAAACCTTGATAGGAACTTAACAAGTACAACTGTTATTTATAGAATTTGGTTCATGCCATGTGTTATGCATGGGCATTTGTAGATCTATACTTTCAAATTCTCCTGTGTACACAGTAGGATTAATCCCAGATGAAGATGCCAACTTTCAGAGAGCCATTTCCAGCTAGGATATAGCTGAACCAGGCTGGCCTGAATTCAGAGTTCTTCCTCCTAGACCAGGCATCGGTTAATGTTTGTCTGCGGAGGGTCAGGTGGTAAATATTTCTGGCTTCATGGGCCACGCCATGTCTGTTGCAATGAGTCAACTCAGTTGTTGTGAGAAAGCAGCCCCAGACAACATGGGATCAAAATGTGGAGGCCGGATTCCAAAGCTCCAGGTTTGGCCCCAAACCACAGTTTACCAACATCTGTTCTAGATTGTTCTACCTCTAGTTTTCTGATGGCTCCAGATTTTGATGCAGTTGGTGTGCTGGCCGTCTCTGAAAAATATTGACATTCATGGGAGAATCCAAACTCCTTAGCCTGGCCGTCTGGAAGCCTTGGGAATCTGGTCCAGCTTAATGAACATCATCTTCCTTCTGTTCCCCCTTCTCTCTCTCTCTCTCAGCCTCTTTGCCTGTTGCCTGCCATTCCTTCACTTATCTCTGAACCTCTCTTTAGCAGACCCCCTCCCTGTGCTCTCCTGACCATCTGGACAGGCATTTCCCAGAGCCCGCGTCACACAGCTTGTGAGTACATGACGATGGGACCCTGCTGGGCTCCCCTGCTGGACCGTGAGTTCATCTGGCTCAGAGCCTGAGCCAGGGCGGGGCAGGGAGCAGGCGCTCAGGAAGGTCTGTCACTCACCACTCCAGGCACGCACACACCTCATAGGTCACCCCGCTGTCGGTGCCCGCATCCCAGGGAATCAGGTCCTGCACCAGCTTCTGGACCCAGCCGCACTCTTTGGTGCACAGGTCCTCTGCAGAGAGGCCCACGTTCCAGTCGGGGCTGGGGCCCATCATGGTCAGGAAGGACATCAAGTGGCGCGTCCTGTCCACTGAAAATTCAGCTGAGGGTGCTGCTCTCCTGCAAACAAATGCGGAGACTGTTACCTTTGGGGCCCTGGGAGTGAACGCTCTGAGGGACATCTGGGCAGACAATGGCTAAAGGATGAGAGGGAGAGAGAGAAGGGGGATTCTTGGTTTCCATCTTTGGCCACTGCTGGTTTCTCTCCGAGCCCGTCCATTGGCCATACATGGAGGGAGCCATATGCTACCGCCCTATCCAGTTTTAATGTGTCTTCAGCACTTAACTACTATTTGTCTGTTTATTGACTGTCATTCCTTTTTGGAGTGTAAGCTCTGGGATAGCAGGGATCCTGTCTGCCTTCCTCATGGCTTTATTTCCAGTGCCTGGCACAGTGTAGATGCTCAGCCGATGTTTCTGAATAAACGAATGAACAGGTACTATAAGCTGCGTGTGCACCCAGCTGCACTGGATGTGTGGTGAACGTGGCAGGTAAAAACTGCATAATGATGTCCCAAGCCTTTCCTTAGACATTCTCAGTGATGCCTCAGAGCAGACCTGGGGTAAGGATTATTGACTCCAACTTATGGATGGGAAAGCTGAGGCTCAGAGGGTTTTGTTATGTGACCTGGCCAAAGTCGTAAAGTGGCAGAACAGAGACCACAACCCAAGTCAATCTCAGTTCGAGGTCTGTGTTCTTTTCATCATCTAAGTTCCCTCCACTTCCACTCTCTAGAGCTATGTTGTGCCATCTAGGGGGCATCTCCCCAGCCTGCTGCCTCATTGCCCTCCAGAGGCTGCTTAGAGCAGGGCGCTGCCCTGACACCAGAGCTCACCCATCACCTCACAGCTGATCCCCAGGCCGTTTCCTCCAGTGGGTGAGCAAGGACCCAGCTATAGAACCAAAGACCTTTGGCTGACAACCCCCAAGCCATGAGAGGCAGTTCTTCAACCACCATCCCCTCATGTTCCCAAGAAGGGGTCCTAGGAGCGGCAGAGCCGGATGAGACCAAGCAGCGTGGTGGGAGAGCTGCGTTCACTCGGTGCACACTTGTGGCACAGATACGCTGCTTTATTTTCCCCTCATGACACTCCTGTGGGGTTGGGATTTATTATCTCATTTTGCAGAAAAGAAGGCAAACAGAAGTTAATGAGCTCAGAGACGCAGCTGGTGAGGCCGCGGTGTGAAGGCAGCTCTGCTTGACTCTCCCTCGCCTCCCAGGCTGCTGATCGTGGGGAATCCTTGGCTGGGGACCAGCTCATCTATTCAGTCCGGCTGGCAGCTGTTTGGGGCGTCCCTCTGCTGCTCTGTTTGGGACCAGCTGCTTCTGGCTGCTCTCACCTGTCCCCTGAAAGCGATGACTCCAGGCCTGGCTGGGCTCGGTGGAACTGGGTCCCCTGGGCAAGTCAGAGGGGATCAGACCATGAGCAGAGCAGGCGTGAAACCTGGGTGCACACCCCACACCACCTCTTAGAGCTGTGTATCCTTGGAATGACCAACCTTTCCGTGCCTCAGTGTCCCAGTCTACAGATTGGGGATTCCCCCTAACATCTACCCCGAAGGGTTACTGTGAGGGTTTAATGAGAACTCATAGCTGGCCCTTCGCCCAGTGCCTGGCACCTGACAAAATGTTACTGAGTGAAGCAGCATTGAAGGGTCAGATGGAGACCAGAAAATAGAGGCCAGAGGAGGGAGGCCTTCCTGAATGCACTTCACATTTTAACCTGATGCCAGTCTAGGTTGAGGGGAGGCGCCTGAGTGGAGGAAGAGCCTGGCCTGAGCCTGGCTTTGGCATCAGGTCCCACGTGCCCTTGCCTGTGCTGGAAAAGCTCCTCTTCAGTGGAGCTGTGAGGAGGTGGACCTCCCCCCCAGAGCGTGGTCTGGGACCAGCAGCGTCAGCGTTGGAACTTGTTGGAAATGCAAATAACTGGGCCTCACCCCAGATTTACTTAGAGAATCTGGGAAGGGGGAAGGGTAGGACCCAGCATTTTGTTTTAATAATCCTCTCAATGATTCTAATGTGCCTCAAATTTGAGACTCAGTGGTCTACTCATCTTCCAAGCTCAGGTTCTGAGTCACCTCTTCCGGGAGCTGTTCTGATGCCTGTACTGAGCCCGGTACCCTTGGTCTGTGTTCACACACACTCTGCGCAGGTCTCGGCTGCACCCTTTGGTTGCAATCTCTTCCTCACTGTTTGCTCGCCCCCACTAGCCTAGGAGCCCCTTGAGGGCAAGAATCCCAGTACCAGGTGTCCAGTGGGCCAGCTGAACAAGTGGATGTGTGATGATGAGCTCCACTACTTACTAGATTAACTCACTCTTCCAGCCTTGGTTTCCTCCTGTGACATCACCCACCTGCCGTGATGCTGTGAGGCTCAAAGGAGATGCTATGTTAGGGAGCCGTTAGACTGCTGAAGCCACACTTACACAGTCTGCTGTTTAGTTAGGCACAGATTGGGGACCTCATTTCCTTTCCCCATGCGTGCATTTTCTGGCATGTAGGTCATTGTTTTGAGCAGCTTCTTTAAAGGCTTGGTTTCTACAAGAATTGCAGTCTGGGGAGCTGTGGTATTGCTCATTTAGGGATTAACAGGACACGGTCTGGGGTCTGGCTGGCAGAGAGCATGGGCATGTGGGCAAAGTGGGACTGCTTGGATCTCGACCCCTCGGGAGTCCAGCAGTGCCTCAGAGGAAGGCTTCTCTTCCATTTTCATAGCGACCAACCACTACACTTGTTACCTTCCCATCTCCCTGAGCATGTGGCTGTGGATCAGGTGAGTCTTTCATCTCACCTGACACTATCTCATGACAGCCCCCAGAGGACCAAAACACCTCTGCCCAGAAATCCAGAGCTGGAGAAACCAAACCAACACAAACCAAACCTCACCCGACACACCACCCTGACACCCTGCCCAACTAAAGGATGTAACCATCTGAGAACCTTCTGCTTTGTACAAGGTGTATACAAATCATTTCCTGCTAGTGCATTTTGGCCAGATCTGTAACCTGAGTGAGGTATCCTCCAGACCTTGGTTAAGTTTCAAGGGATAGGAAGTTCTGGGGCAACCAATCCCTGCACGAAACACTCAGTAATATGGTAATTGAGTAATATGGTAAATTTGAATGTCTAAAAGTCTGGGAACGGTTTTCTAATATCTTCAGTTACATTCTGCTTACATGACATGCTCTGGAGGAAATGTTTCCTGTCCTCACCTTGAATTGCTTAGGTGTACCGTCCCAGAGCATGTTGAACTCACTCTTTCCTTGGAGTTTCTTTTTTAATTTCTGTCTGTCCTGTTAGGTTCCAAAAGAGTAAGGACCATTTCTGTCCTGTTTGCAGCTGTGTCCCAGGGCCTGCTCTAGAACCTGGCATGCAGTAGGTTCTCCTCAAGTGTTTTTTGAAATAAATGAGTTAATCTAGGAAATGAACATAGAGCTTTTGCACTTGCTTTGGCCTTCAGATCTAATTTGAAAATTACCTCAAAGTATTTATTACTTTTATAATTAAAAATGCTGTTTAAAGTAATGAAATAATAAAAATATATGTGAATTTTCTTTAGGAAATGCTAGATATGATTGGAATTCTTTAATTCATAATAAAAATTCTTATTCATCTTTTCTTATATTCCATGTCTTCCCATACATAGTGTTTTGTTAATTCAGTCTTATTTTTCTATCTGGGATTTAAATTTTTATCACTTTTCTGGCAAAAAGAGTTGTCCTGGCCATACTATGTATCAGAATATATTATAAAGCATGATAATTAAAATGGTGTAATATTCAGGATAAGAACCATTGGTGGTCCAGTGGTTAAGAATCTGCCTGCCAGTGTAAGGGGCACAAGTTCGACCTCTGGTCCGGGAAGATTCCTCATGCCTGTGTGCCACAACTACAGGGCCCGTGGACCTGAGAGCCTATTCTCCGTAACAGGAGAAGCTACCACAGTGAGAAGCCTGCTCACTGTGAACAGAGAAAGGCTGCATGCAGCAACAGAGACACAGCGCAGCCAAAAATAAATAAATGAAATCTAAACATAAAATAGAAAAACAGAAATATAAATCAGTGGCCCAGTGTGAAGATTCCAGAAACTTTAGATAAGGACTCATACACAACTGAGGGAGAGGAAAGATCGTGCAGCAAATGGGGTTGGGATAACTTAATTGCAGTTTAAAAATATGTAGGATTTACATCTAGTATCACACACATCAAATTCCCCCAAACAGCAAAAACTCAGGGTTAAGTAGAAAACAACGAGATCATAGGAAAGAAGTCAAGTGTTCTGATCTGTTAGAGAAACATTAATTTTTTTCAGCTTTGAAACTATAAAAGAAATCACAAAAGTAACTAATTGAATAATATACCAATTGAAAACATCTACATAATGGATACAACAGTGTTGAAATAGAACTAAAGAATGATGTGCTGGCAAAAAATGTCTCCCTCTAGTGTGACTGACAAATATTAACATCTATAGTACGTACACACTTCCCAGGTGGCGCAATGGTAAAGAACCTGCCTGCCAATGCAGGAGATGTGCGTTTGATCCCTGGGTCGGGAAGGTCCCCTGGAGAGGGGAATGGCAACCCACTCCAGTATTCCTGCCTGGAGAATTCCATGGACAGAGGAGCCTGGCGGGCTACAGTCCATGGGGTCGCAATGCGTCAGACACGAGCATAGTATGTACAGAGCTAGTCTAAATCTGTAAAAACAAAACCTGATGATTCTAATAGGTAAATTAAAGTTATAAACAGATAATTTATACCAGAAAAATGAAAACAAAATGAAGGCATGGAGATGTTTTGTCTTTTTACATTCAGAGAGGCAGCATGGTGTGGGGAGGGATAAAGGGGACTGGAAGAAACTGCTGGATGTGGCAGCAGCTTTGACTTCAGCTCACTTTGCAGTTACTAATCTGCAAAATGGGAACACCCTCAGACCCACCCCAGGGCTTTTAGTGAGGAAACTGCTCATCATCAAGACTGGCATTCTACTATGACTTGGTAAATGCAGATTTCCTTCTCATTCAGCTTTTCTAAACAAAACTTTCAAAAACACGACAAAAGAAAAGAGCCAATTAAGGATTGTTATGGTCTTTCTAGAGACTTACTATACTAATCTAAGTTATGGATCTGTATCATTTAGACTCTCACCGAAGAACTAATGCTTTCGACGTGTGGTGCTGGAGAAGACTCTTGAGAGTCCCTTGGATTCAAGGAGATCAAACCAGTCAATCCTAAAGGAAATCAACCTTGAATATTCATTGGAAGGACTGTTGCTGAAGCTGAAGCTTTGCTACTTGGCCACCTGATGCAAAGAGCTGACTTATTAGAAAAGACCATGATGCTGAGAAAGATTGAAGGCAGGAGGAGAACGGAGCGGCAGAGGATGATATAGATAGCATCACCAACTCAATGGACACGAATTTGAACAAACTCCAGGAGACAGTGAAGGACAGAGGATCCTGGAGTGCTGCAGTCCATGGGGTCGCAAAGAGTCGGACCAGACTTAGCGACTGAACAAAAACAATCAGTGAGACTCAAGTCGCATTTTTTGTCCCTTCTGTTCATTTCAAATGATCTCCAGTACAGAGCTTTCAAAGTTGCAGAAACTCAATCTTGACACTAGATGGCGCCGGAGTCATTCACTAAATTGAAGTTCTGTGTGGGTGGAGAAACGTTTCAGTGAGGTTTCTACCTTGGAAAACTGTTTATAACCTGGAGGCATCTAGGGCTCCAGGTCCATCTGGCCCATTTAGATCTACTGTTGGCTTCTCAGATTCAAAGCCAGTCCTTTTTAACAATCCTGAGGAAATCAATGGACTTGGGCAGGTTCTCCAGGAGACTTGAGGGCTCTGAAACTTCCAGCTCTGATTTGAGAGAAAGATGCGTCTGACCTCCTGGGAACCATGACTGAAATGAGTAAGGGGGCACAGACCCTCCAGAGGCATGATTTTTGGAAAGGGTGATGACCTTGTCTCTATTTAACCTCTCATTTTTCTAGCAAACAGATCTGTCTAAACACATGTTAATTAAACAGAATGGCTGGGAACAATTAAGGGGATGATTTACAGGATGCATTATAAGAAAGGGAATAAATCTTATCTTTAAAAGATTCAGTAATTCCTAACAGATTAACCTGGAGGAACTGGGTGGTGAAAATTCAGCATTAATTGGTAGGAAAGTTGGGCATTTTCTACTCCGGCACTGGAGGAACTCGTGAACGATATGCGTTTTGCTCAGAATTTGTCTTTCCTGTTTCTACCTGTGCTCTGGGCTGTTGGAGCTGCAGCTTGATTTATTGAGCTAAACAAGTCAGCAGCTAATTTGTTCATTCATGGCTGTCCTTTGAGAAGTGGTCCTGGGGATAAAGATGAAGATCATTGAAAAACAAGTCAGTTTCGCCAGGCAGGACCTCACAAAGTAGGTCACCCCGGCTTTCCACCGGCCCGAGGGAGGCTGGAATCCCATTAACCTCAATCGAGCAGGCTCACAAGGAGGGGCAGGGCTGTTTCTGCAAAGCAAAACTTGGCTGCGTGTAGGCTTCCTAATTTGACTTCCTAATGAGATTTGGAAGAGGAAAGGGGAGCCTGGGGTATGGGAAAACTGAAGGAAAATTCCTTTCCCTTCACAAGCTGGTAGCACCAAGGGCAGAGGCTTTGGGAGTTCGGGAAATCAGTGTTTGCCTTGGATCAATCCTGTTTCACTAGGGTCTCAGGAAGTCTGAGGGGTGGGTGAAGGGTGAGAAGGTGCCCCCAAATATTTTTTTCAAGTTTTCAGTAAGTCTCCTCCATCTTAAAATAAAAAAGCTCCACTGATTCTTTCATCCTCTTGGACCTCCTGCCTCGTCTCTCTTCTTTCACAGCAAACTTCACAGAAGAGTTGCCTGCACTCACTGATTCCATAACCCCACCTTCTGTTCACATTTCACCCTGTTCCAGGCTGTGTCCCCTCTCCCCATTACTCAGCAGAACAGATTCCCAGTAAGGTCACTGATGATGTTGATAAATCCAATGGGCATTGTGCAGTTCCAACCTTCCTTGATCTCTCAGCTACCCTGGACACAGCTGGTCTCTCTCTCTTTTTTTTCTTGGCCACACTGCAAGGCTTGCAGGATCTTAGTTCCCCAACCAGAGGATGAACCCTCACTCTTGGCAGTGAAAACATAGAGTTCTAACCGCTGGACCACCGAGGAATTCCCCGCTCTCTCTTTGAATGCTTTCTTTCCTTGGTTTCCCTGATACCAAGCTTCCTTCCCTAATCTCCTTGCTAATCTGTTTTTGCTTCCTTTGCAGGCAAGTCCTCCTCAGCAGTAAATGTTAGAGCTCCCTTGGGACTCTGTTCCAAGCCCTTGACTCATCCTCCGGCTCTCTCTTTTATCCATGTCCTTGGTGTTGATTGTTTCCCATGCCTTCAGTTCAGTCAGTTCAGTCGCTCAGTCGNTGGTGGCCGGTAGGCAGGCAGCTCCAAGTACAAGGCCGGGACCAGGGCTGGACAGAGCCCTGTTGCTACTTACACGTTGAGAGGCTGCCAGGCTGGCCACTGAGCTTTGGCTTTGATGACGGTGAGGACCTCGTCGCTCTGTAAAACAGGACCACAGGTATTTAGTGAGGAGAGCTGGGCTTAGGGAAGAGGACGGCTTTGACATGGTGACGTTGTCCACCCCACACCCTCACCTGCTGCGGAGCCTCTACCTACCCAGGTGTGGAGACAGCCTGCCCTAGGTGGGGGCGCCCTGGAGTCTTGGCAGTTCTGCGCCGGGGAGGCTGTGTCCCAGCTACCTGGACACCAACGGGCCCCCTGAGCCACACCTAAGGTTCCCATCTCAGACCCTTCCCCTTGGGAGCCAGGCTCTGCCCTTCCCTACACACTGTGTCCAGACTGAACGGCAGCTCATGCCCTCTGCATCCAGGCGCTGACTAGGGTCTGCTCCAGCCACACCTCACCCCAAGGAGTGTCACCCCCACGGCCTCATGAGACTACACACACTGGATCCGACTCCTTCGGACAAGGAGGGCAAAGAGAAGCCTGGGCCCCGTGCTCCTGGGCCACTCATGTTATTCTGCTCTATTTTGCTTTGGGCAGTGTGTAGGGCACCCTTGAAGCTTGAGAACCTAAAAGAATTTTTTGAGGAAGAATCTGGTAATTAACATTGGGAAGGAAAGACTTAATCACCAACGTGGGGGAGAAAAATCAGAATGTTGTTAATCTTGCTTAGCTTCACTTCGAGGTTGGTTTGGGTTTTTATGTTCAATAACACATTGGGGCTGAGGGCTTCTGTATGCTTTTCAAAGTGTAAGCATCCATAGGTGCGCAAGTTCAGCTCTGGTGGGGGTTTCCTCAGAGCAGATTCAGCTGATCCCAGAGCCTGCCTTCCCCTGGCCTGGGCCCAGCAGTGCTCAGACAGCACCATCCATGCTCCACAGAAAAGCCCAGAATGTCACCGGCAAGGGCAGGAAGAGCTTTGATGCCTATTGAACAGTCTCTGAGTTTTAGGAGGGTGGAGACTGGCTGTGCTTGCCCATAGCTCTGCCTCAGTCCTTGGAGTTGTTCCTGGCAGTAGGTACCTAGCACATATTTGGAATGAATTGGTGAACTTCTCCTTAGTTGGTGGGTACCATGCCCAGAAAATCCCACAGCCCCGGGGGAACTGTATACAATCAGGAGGTCAGAGGTGCCTCCAGGCTCAGGACCAAAGATTATAAAGAGCCTCTGGTTTGGAGCACCTAGTCCACAGCCAGGGAAGGGGTTGGGGGTGGGTGGGAGATACTTTAGAGGGGACAGTAACTCAGCTTGGCTTGGGCACCTACTGACCATCCTGGGTGGATGAGGCCCCCCGGGTAACCCCACTCCCCAGAAGCACGAAGCCTGCTCTGAGCTCAAGCTTCCCCCCTTTTGATCAAAAGAAACACTCTGTGGATACATAAACATCCCCACACTCACAGGTCTGCAGGGAGAGCATTTCCAAGTCTCAAAAGAGTGTTTGACACTTCTCCTGTTTTATTTGTTGACACTGTATCCCTCAGTCGCTCCTAATACACATATGCTGAGTGACCTAGGGAAACTGCCCGACGTGAAGTCACATGTGAGAGGTGACCTGTCTCCTGAAGGCCTGAGCTGGACCCCGTGATCGGGGTTTCCCATGTTCAGCTAGTACATGACCCACACTGAATTCTTCAGCTGCCCCCAGAATATGGCTGTTTCTCCAGCAGCCCCACTGAGCATATCCCCCAGTTGCCTGCATCTCTCCACCTCTCACCCCCTCACAGCTGCCAGGCTCCAAGATCCACTGTGTTCACAGTCTTAGCATCTCTTAAGTCCTTCCACGGTCTCCTCACTGGTTGCCCCAGCAATCTTCTTAGTTTTCCCCAGACCACCCTCCACATCGGTGCAAAACACCACATTCGCTGCATGCCTAAGCCCTGCAACAGCGCCCCATAACTTCCACGCTGACTTCCTTTTCTTTTAAAAGTAGGAATTCCTTTATTCCTCATCAAAACAGTCTAACAGCAAATGTAGATTGTATGCTTTTATTTTTACATTTAAGTTATCCTTTTTTGGATTTATCTTTCATCAGGACTCTGCTGCATTTAAACCTTGTCCTTCTAGCGAGAGGGTAAAGTTGTACGTCAATCTTATTCAGAGAACTTGGCTGCTTGTAGCAGACCGAAAGAGCATGGAACTTAGGCAGGAGAGTGGAGAACTTTTCTACAAACACATTTAAACTTCTTCCCAGTACAAAAACATCTTTTGTTGCTTTTAGAGATAATTTTACAAATCAGAAGTTCTTACAGGACAGTCCAGATGAAGTGTCAGCAAGTATTTTAAGTAAATCCCAATGACCTGAAATTCAAGTACAAACTAGATATTTAGTGTTTTCTTTTTTGTAAATATGAAGTCCTTAACCTGAGGTATAGCATCTTCTAGAATCTGCATAAGGCCCAGGGACATCAGTGGCGGCGACACAAACTGTAGAACATCCAGGAAATTGAACACAGGACCCTCCATCACCCTGGCACAGATTTCAGCTCTTACTGCCAACTGTGATCAGCCTCCTTCCACAATAACAAGGTGACTGGTCTTCATGACACTGGTTTCTATTGTTCAGTGTCCACTGGTCTGATGGTTTGCAAATTTATCAGCTCATATTCAAGTCCCTCTTTAGATAGCACTGTTGAGCTTCTAAGCAGTGGCCGACAGGTCTTGAATGAGAAACTATGGTTGCATGTGTACCTTGCCTTTCTATTTTGGCTTTTCCTATAGGGATCATATAATCTTTTGACTGAGCTCCTGGGGAAGTTCAAAAGGAACTTTATATATCAATTCACCTCCAGCGCCACCACTGGACTTACCTTGAATGGCAGATTTAATAAATCCTTTTGCATCCTCTAAATTCCAGGGACTGACCACCTTTAAGCCTGGGAAGTGCTCATATCAGGCAGCAAAGCATTGTGAGTATTGGGCAGCTACGCCTGTTGGGGCGACACTGGGCTCCCTGAAGACTAAGGGCACCGGCTGAAGGCCTCCTGATGTGTAATAGGTCTTGGTAGCTGAGTTTATAACCTGGCAAATGACTTGCATAGAGAAATTAAAGGGCATAAATTCATAAATGGGCCTTAACCCAGCCAGAACTGCACCTACAGCAATTCCAGCAAAATCCGACTCTGATACGGGAGTATCTATGATCCTCTTATCTCCATATTTTTTCCACAGGCCTCAACTAACCCCATCGTATAGGGCAACTTCTTCCCCAAGTAGAAATACCTTCCCAGCTCTTTCCATCTCCTCCTCCATACCTTGATTTATAGCCTCATGAACTGTCACCTGCAGTGTGGCTGGCGTGGTCCAGGGGAACTGCCTCCTCAGCAGACCAGACCTGCTCAAGGAGTCTCTGCACCAACCCAGCAACCATGGCCACCCTGACCATGTCCTCTACCTGCTGCCGAATCCACAGTGATTTCTTAATTCCCAACTTTTGCCTACATGGCCTGTATCATCTAGCTTTTTTCTTTGATTTTTAATTTCAGAATAATACATGCTTTTTGTGGGAAAATTTAGCATCACAGAAGCACAGTGTAAATGCTGAGCATTCCGCTCTAGCATCTATCCTGCCTTCTGCCACCTCCCTCTCCAGAATGTTACAGTGTGGTACATATCATCCCAGATCTTTTACTATACTTAGGTACAACGTGCGTGTGTGTGTGTGCATGAACATTAGATACAACCTTTCCCACAAAAACTGCATCATATTGAAATCTCATTCTGCACCATGATTTTTACATTTTCCCCTTACTATCATATCATGAAAAACTTTCCTTGTCGGTACCTATGGCATCAGAGCTTTCCTTTTGTTGATTTTGAGAGCTTTCGAGATCCTCAAATTAGGGTAAGCCAGGTCAAGACTAAGAAAAAAGAAATCTAAGCATGAGATCCAAGTCATGAGATACCGTCTGATGACAGTCCTTTTGCCCTTGAAGAAATACTTTACTAAAAAAAGCAGGGACTTTCCTGGTGGTGCAGTGGGTAAGAATCTGCCTGCCAGTGCAGGGGACTTGGGTTTGATCCCTGATCTGGGAAGATCCCACATGCTGCGGAGCTCTACAACGTTCTAGGGCCCACAAGCTACCACAACTGAAGCCCTCACGCCTACAGCCTGGGCTCTGCAACAAGAAGCCACCGCAATGGGAAGCCTGCACACTGCAACGATGAGTAGCGCTCGCTCCCCATAACTAGAGAAAGCCCACATGCAGTAAGGAAGACCCAGTGCAACCAAATAAATAAAAATTAAAAAATAAATCAATGTGGGTGGAGTTAAGGGGCCACTAGGTTAGCTGGCTGGCCCTGCAGACATACCCTGTATTACAATGAAACCTTGGTCATCAAGTTGCAACTAATGACATATTGATTTTGCCTTTGTAGTATATAACTCAGAAATAGTTGAGGCTCTCCATGAGTGTTTATTTATGGTACTGGCATTCCATCTGTATCTTTTAGAGCCATGGAAGCTCCAAGGATGGTTGTCCACCTGTGTAGGCCTTAGAACAGCTTCTTCCTGTCAACTGTTTCATCTCACGGTTACATACCATCTGCATGACTGTTTGTGTTATCCAATGAAATAAGAGCACAGGAACCGTCAGGAAAAATGTATTTGAGAAACTAAACATTTTTCTTTCTTTTTTTAAAAAAATATTTATTTCATTTATTTATTTTGCTGCACCTGGTCTTAGTTGTGGCATATGAGATCTATTTCCCTGACCAGGGATTGAACCTGGGATGCCTGCATCGGGAGTGCAGAGTCTTAGCCACTGTGCCACCAGGGAAGTCCTTAAATATTTTTCTTTAAGTAGAACCAAAGCTCTTCAGGATTGGAGAGAGTCTGGCCTGTTCACGGCCAAATCCAAGTGCTGTGGATATTTAGCAAATTGGTGAAAAAGGAAAGCCACACCATTTTTTTTTTTTAAATGTATGTGTAGAATTCTATAGCATGGATGTTCTCTTATTTAACTGGCATTATTGGTGGACATTTGTTTCTATACATGATATTCTATTGAACACTTGTGAATGTATTTCTTTGTTTATAA